ACTTCAAACCATGACATACCTACACATCAAAAGAAGACAAGAAAAGTAATCCTGAATAATTGTCTATCCTCAAAATGAAGAAGCAAAGTTCTATGTAAAAATGTATTTTTATACTGGAAGATCATGTGTCATAACATATACATAAATCGGACTGAATAAGGCGATACTAAGTTTCTCAACTTCGCATCCTTAATAACTTTTTTGCATAGGGCTTTTGTTTTGTGGAAGTGATAAAATGTCTCGGGCATTTGCCAGCCTCATTAGAAAATAAATATTTGCAGATTGGTCTTGGCCCAGTAAGCACAATTTAATTAACAAAGCAGTGAATTATTCATAAAAGAATATCCAGGGCTTCCTTGTTCGGCTGTCTGTAGACTCTATCTGAAGAATTGCAGTCACTGTAGTTTACCTGTCATGGTCTGATGAAGAGTTGTACGATCTAAACTCTGTTCCAACTGCCTCATTTAGAGAGAGTTGGTACCAGCAGAGTCTGTCACTGCTGCTCTGTGCTCTCTCCTCCAGCTGTGGTGATACCTTGCTTCAGTTCCTCCCTGATCACAACTGCATTCTGGTTATTCGGCGACAGGTTTTACAAATGTTTAATATCAGTTTTACATTTCTTTAATAGCTATATGAGGAGGGTATTGTAAGTAACCCATATGTATTTTCTTTCAAGGTTAACTTTGGCATCTTCTTAAAAATTCTCAGGGTGCTGGTTTCCAAACTAAAAGCTCAGCAGATGAGCTTTCATGACTACAAATACAGGTATGTAATAAATAACAAAGAACTCCCAGCCCTTTTTTCTCTCAACATCAGAAGGTTGCCAGTCTGCCTTTGCATTCACCTACCACCACCGGATGTAACAGATATTCCGACAATATAAGAAAGCCACCTGGGGAAATAGACTCCACAAACATTTTCTTATCTGAGAAGTAAAGGCAGGTCAGCACCTGTGTGCTGAGAATTATGGGCATTTTCTCAAGGACTTTGCAATGCAGTAAGATCTCTGGTACCCTCACCATACACATGTGGTCTCTATTGCTGTGACATATTTTGTAACTTGAGTGTGACAAAAGGTCCTCAAAAGATAAAGTGTAGATTTGTGGGACATTCCTAAGTAACATTAGCATTTCGGATCTACCTTTTTTTACAGACCAAGACACTGTTGACTCGAGAATGTCCCTGGTCTTCTTGTAAAACCAAATGAGAACATTACCCTTAGCCTGTACTCTTGCAGGCCCCAGTAAGGGCTCTCTTGGCCAGAGTCTCATCATGTCTTATGTAAAGTCCTGGAGTTGGCCTTTGCATAAACATCTTCTCACTTTGTGGGAACAGCAAGGACAGGCTGGTCTGCAAGGAGTTAATGAAGTAGTGAAAACTGCACTTAAATCAATGGAAACCTGAGAATTTGTTAACTGCCTTCCAATCCCATTTCTTTCCAGTTCTTAATATCTTTAATTAAAGCATTGTGAATCCCTGTCTGCTACTACAGTCCTGCCTTACTAAGATGAATTATTTTATTGTCTAACAGGACTGGGTAGGGGGAAGGAGGGATGGAAATTTCACTACCAACTTCCTGTTAAATTCCAGTATTAAATTTCCAACAGGAGCATATTTCCGTTTCCTTCAACATTCGAGGTCCAAAAGATCTCAGCTATGTTCTCCAAATTGCTACAGGAAGATTGTTGTAATCATAGTCAGAGACAGCACCTGTATTTAACATTGCCTAATGTTTTGCATTATATTCTCTTTTTTACTGCTTTTAATTTTGCTAAACTTTCAAAGATTCAAGCTATTTCTCACATTGCAAGTCTTCCTCAGAACTCACTTTCTTTTGAGACCTCTTCTTTCATCCATGCAAAGATGTTTCCAGACTTGTTAAAGAAGATTCTCTTCCATAAACATTATTCTGGTTGTATTTTTTTAAAAGTAGATGACTGTTGACAGTACCGCAGAAACTTCCTATGCAGCTACACAGTTTTTGGCAGTGGTCTAAGAACCCTGTTAACAGGCCACTCATATTTAGCTATGTAAATGTTTTTCCGTTGCCTAGCAGCTTAAGTTTTATGATATTGGCCTTCCTGTTCAATTTCTTGTCCCTAACCTTTCACCTTAAACCCAAAGCCAAGATTCCCTCCTATATAGGCTTTTTCGATAGTGTGCTTCAAAATTCCTATCTGGGAATTTGTCCTCAAAATCACAAAATTACTAATACTATTCTGAAGTCAGAATATTGAAGGAATATTTCTCGAATAATTTCTTTGTAGCTGAATTTTTGATTTTTCCACCAAAGATGTTGAAAAAAATACTATAATCAAACATTTTCTTTTTAAGATTGGCGAGATCTACACTTGTTCTGATTCCACTCTTGGGCATCCATGAGTTTTTATTTACCTTCATCACTGATGAACAGGTGGAAGGACTTTCAAGACATATAAGACTTTTCATTCAGCTGACAATGAGCTCATTTCATGTAAGTACTCTTTTATAAGTGTTGTTTTTAGAGATCATAGATCAACATGTGCATGTTGCTGACCTATAGATACCACAAATAAACAATATTCTTATTTAATATTATGCTTCAACCTTTAATGTCTCTAAATACACTATTACTGTGACAAGGAAAAAACTTCAAACCCTGCATTTTCAAAAGATCATAGTCCTAAACACCAAAAAAGGAGTCTGACACATTGAGAAACAATGTGTCTTGTATTGTCTGGTAATGGGTGACAGTTTGTCACAGACCCCTGTTCTGAAAACAGGATTGAAGTTGTCTATTTAAAATGTTTCATGCAACTTAATTCCTAGAAAGCACTGTATGACTTTTTTAAACAAGATTTTCAGGTGATTTGTTGATGTTGGAGTCACACTGAGGAGAAAGTTGGTTCTGGACTCATCTTTTTCAGTGTATAGTACATGTCCAGCATACTTCAAACACACCACAATGACCTTGTTGTTGTGCCCCTGTACAAAGAAAGAACAATCAAGACTCTATACCAGGAGATGCAAGGATCAGCTGCACTTTAGCTTTGGTAGTTGGGGCAGTCAGCTCATGTCTGACATACCACTGACACAGCGGGCCTGTGGGCCAGTCCTTATCTCTTAGGACGTTTTCCAAAAGGAGTTGAACAGAGACTGTGTGGAATTTGGGGCAGTTTCATGAAAGGAAACACAGATCTGAATGCTGTGAGAACAGCGAGCAATGTTAAAACACTTGCTGTGAGGAGAAGCATGTGAAGGATAAGCAGGAGTTGTGTGTGGTTCCAGCCTAGAGGACACACTCTGGGTATGCTTAGCAGACTAATGCCCTCAAGGAAGTGCACTGAAAACATTGTTCTCCTACAAGAACCTTGTCAGGACCATGACTCACTGGAATTGTGTTCTATTTGGTAGTTGTAACAAAGGTACTTCCACGTAAGCCTAGAGAAAAACTTCAAGACATTTTTATGGCAAAACCATGCCTACATACTTCAGGCCTCCATAGTTCACATATAGGCATCAGAGATGACATGTAAGACGCCCTTTTGAAGACCTCAATTTAAGGTTTCTGTCTCTTTCATGGGTTTAAGTATAAATTCAACAAAGCAATGCATCAGAAGTGCAACATAGAAAGCCACCGTGAATTCAGTGCACAGGCACCAGTAAAAAAGTCTACTTTTGCACACTAGACCCCTGATAAGCGCACTCCTCTGGGAAATGGAGACAGCACAGTCCCCAGCCAGGGGATGGTTTAACCTCTTCCAGAGAAGTGCCCAATAAGGCTGAGGCAGCACTGTTGCTCTTGCCCAAAGCAAGCTGTGTAAACCAGCAACCAAAAATGAAAAATGAACTGAGAGGAAGGAGGATGAAAGAAAATTTGAACCTATGGCTTAGTGGTCAGAGCAGCTGTCTGGGAAAGGGACACTTTGAGGCCTCAGTGCCTGCCCCTGAGCGTTGGTATCATTCACATCAAATAACTATAGGTTTAAAAAGGTACAAGAAAACTAAAGCAATCAGAGAAGCAAGGAGAAGAACATCTCAGCACTTGCCTTACTCATCCTTTGCTTCCACTCACAGCCTCGTGAGTCATGCCAGTAGTCAATATTAATCTGCCTTGATTCAAGAGAAGGTGCAGATATGCCTCCACCCAGAGAGGCTGGTAGCTAGGTGACTGCTGTAGGGCATGGCTGTGCCTGTGGTGAAGCACTAGGTATTTCTCATACTTTCAGGTTATTGGGCAAAATTTGTGATGTATGACAACAGCCAGCTTCTTTTTTGAAGAACAGCGCATTGACCCACTGACTATATCTAAATCCTTAACATAGGTGTTTAAATTCATGCAAGGAATAACTGAAGCATTTACATTTTCTGCTTTGTTGTTTTTTTCTTGGTTGCTTTGCATTCCAGCTTCCAGTTACTAGGCTATTGTGAGTCCCAGTCTCAGTGCCCAGTGCCCCATCCTCCATCTCATTCACAATATACAAGAGCTTAGCACATAACTTGACACTTGAGAAAAATTGCACTTGTGTAGGCCTAAGTAGTCTATCTTGGGCATTTAACTCCCCACTGAACATAGTTTCCTAACCCTTAAATGCTTATATTTGCCATGTTCCTACTAGTTAAAGGACTTTTGGTGTTTCCTCCCAGCAACAAAAAGATTACCTCTATATTTTCCTCCCATGGTTCTCAAGATTTAAGCCTGGCAAGGTTAATACCTGTAAACCTGTGTGTCACATCTACTCTTATATCTCTATAGGGAGCTATTTTTCCTCCTGGTAATGATTTCAGCTTGATCAACAGGACAACTCTTCCCATTTTGGTTACAAATAACCATAAAAGGAGGCTCCATAAAGTTCAAGTCCTTATGGGATGCCATTCATAAATTCTATAGTTTCAAGAGAGTTTCTTTTTGACGGAATTGCCATACATCCAGTTCTCTCAGAAGGCACACAATCAGACAGCAATTTAACTTTCCTGAGCAAAGAGCTTTCTTGCTGTCTTCTGAAAGAACAAGGCAGTTCAGGAAGTACCAGCAATTCTTCAAGCAAAAGAATAACAAACAACGTTGTTTCCTGCAATACTCCATTTGAAGTGTCTGTTTACAAGCTTTTCTACCCTGCAAAAATCTTAACTATGAGAATATCTGTCTTCATCCAGAGTTTGGGCTCCATTTCCCTAAAGGATGTGTTCGTTCACCATATCTGCAAAGTGACACCATGGCTTCCTATAAGTACATTCACACAAAGTACTGTACTCATGAACAAATTTCTAGAGCTAAGAGAAAACTTGTTAGTGCACTCACGTGGGTGGAACAGATAGATGGCCTAGCATTTGCAGGTGGAAAACAAGTTTGTCACCTATACAGTCAGCACAGCATTTTAGAGATGTTTATGTACTTGGCTCCCCTTCAGTCACCCTGCCTTGGTAGCGTTTAAGTAGGCAGAGACTTGAGGTAGAGTGAAGGAATGAGAGTGTAGCTCTGCGCCCTCCTATCTTGGCTGTATGCATGAAGGTGTGAAGGAGCCATGCCCCAATAAAACAGTCAGTGCTAAATAGTCCAAATTCCACATCAAGCTGTTACTGAAACCAAATTGTGAGTCTTAGATAGTATACACGTGTTTTACTGTAACTATTCAGTCCCCAGTTTGCAAAGGCTGAGAACTGGACACAGCAGTCACTCTGCAGGCACAAAGCACTGCTGCCTGCTTCAACCTGTGCTCTGCAGAATTGTTGAGTAATGACTTTTTTATGTAGTTCTCCTGTTAAACTACCTGCTTAGCAAGGTTGTCCTTTACCCTTATCTTCCTGCCTTGACCTTCTTGGTGAGACAGGACAGCAGTTTCCAGGTCTCCTTTCTTTAACGAGGTACGCAGCAATACCTCTGGCTAGAAGTCCTTACTACTCACTGACTCACTACTTTAATATATGGCTGCCCTCTTGTCGTGGTTTTTTTTTTGGACTGAGGGTCCAGACAAGAACCGAAAAGGGAGCACCCACCAAAATTATTGCACTTTTCCCACATTTTATGGTGAACCTTGTTTCTAACCTGTATGTGTGCACCATTGCTCTTGTCACCGAAAATCCATACAGAAACTCTCTAACACAGTTTGCAGTGTTAGAAAGTGGCACTGGTTTATTGCGGCGCCGGGTGATATCTCCTCCTGGCACGTACACCCGGCCCCTGGACAGAAACTCAGTTATACACCACAATCATGCATATTCACAGCATGTTTACATATTCATTGTTATTTTCTTAAACAATTGGTTAATTTTCACTCTCTTTACATGTAAATTACTTCCCATGCTCAGTTCTCTTCCTCCGCCCCTTTCTTTTGGGTCTGGGCTATGTTTAGTGCAGGTGGCCCATGAGTTGGTGGTCGCCATCTCCCCTGCTGGAATTCCCTTTTCCCCACATCGCTGCTGCACATGTTCCCAGCTCAGAAAAACATGAGAACAAGGTTTATCCATTCTCTGGGATGTTCCCTTCAAGGGCAGACAGCTCTGGATAGAGTCTCCCTTTTAATCACTTCTTCAGTGTGATTGAAGGCAGCTTCAAGGATGGTCATCTTGTTCTGTTCCTTAGGTATGTGCAAAACCACCTACTAAACCCTTCATGAAATTCTTACAAAAGTTTTAACCCCTTCATTGTTGAGTAACACTCTGGCGTATGCATGCATCAGTGCTTTGACACTGTTATTAAGGCTCTAACGAAAAATTTCTGCTACAGCTTGATGGGAAAAATGTCCAACCATGTAGAAAGGAGTTCATGCAGATCCACCACCCTAAGAGGACCTGCTGATATGATGTTGAAATACATGTTCCTCAGCTAAACGTATCCTTATTTGGAGAGGCTGCAATGACTAGATGGTATTTTAAGAAACGCAGAGTCATTTTAAGTGAAAATTTTGTTTACTGGCTTGTACGAAGAGATCTGATATAGAAGATAGCTTACTCATCCCTGTTAGAAAACACAAAGTTCATTCCTTTCAGAGGAACATGCACATGACAGACTACATGGCATGCTTTAGAAGAAAAACTTCTTTTCAAAATACCCAAAGATCTTAGACAACGTTTATTGCAGAGTCTCTTTTTTAGATACAGCATTATTTGTGAAGGGATTAGCAAAAAAGCACATAAACTGTACACAATTACATTTGTTTAGTCTGTAAATCTTCTCAGTAGTTTTAAAAAGCAGTTAAACTGTTTTGTTAAAGATAAACAATTACCTCTGGGATCTCATCTGGAGGTTTTAACTCAAACATTTTCAAGGAGCACAAAATTAAATTCTAAGTACTGGTTCTGCAGTAGATATGATGCTTCTTTGCTTTAGAAAGTGGGATGATCTAAAAATCTTGGCTCACTGGTGCATGCAAAATACTAGTTTCTGGTGGATAAAACCCAGTTATTTAGTGAGCAATTTATCATGCTGCCATTGTCAATAGAACTGAAAAACAATTGTGCATCTATCCTTTCCTATTGGTTATTGTGCTAATGAACATTTAGTCTGAATTTCTGATTCTTCTTTTTCCCTCAAACTGATCATTTTAAAAACGTATGCCTTAGAAGTTGTGGCATACAGGAAAGTTTCCTAAGTATGAAGTTCTATGTATTGTGAAAAAAAAAAAAAAAAAGGAATATGAGGAAGCACTAAACAAATCCGGATATAAAATGAACATCAAATATCAATAATCAAATTAATTTTCAACCTTCTGCTATGATTTTACAGTGTTTCTGCCTGTCACTGCATGTTCTGATCTTGCAGCAAACTAAATTCACATAGGGATTTACAAACTTAAATTCAACACAGAGCTGCCACTAGTATTCACAAAGTCCTCTCCTAATCTGGTGAGTTTTTGCCTTTCTCGCAGGGGGTATCATCAGGCTTAGCAGTCACGGGACTTAGCAGCACCGTGTAGTTTAGATCCTATTTCTGCTTGTGGTGTCTGTGAGGCCAAAACCAGAGCTTGTGCTCAGAACACAAAAACACCCAGTAAAAACATTTTCATGGACTTTCTACCCCAAAAAAGAGAACTATCTACAGGTGCAGAAGCAGTTCTGCATAAGAAGCTGATTTTAAGCTACTAAATTTTCTATTTATCCATCTCCAAGGTTTCTCAGTCTTTTATAACTACTATTCTAAAATTTATCCCCATAGTAAAATATCATCTGTTATGAACTCTAATGACCATAGTATTTTGTGATTTTTTTTTTGCATATTTCTGTGAAATAATTTAGATGCAGAGGATAATTTAAAAGTTACCTTGATACATGACAAATTACCTATATCTTGCTATCACAACCCAGGTGAAGCATGAAATATAGTAGAGATAAAATACATGGAAAAAAAAATTGTGATTGTTGTTCCTCCTGCCCTGATTTCCACTGGTGTGGCAGATAAACTGTTCTTTTTCACACTTACTGCTCATATGCTTAAGGAATTAATAGATCCAAAGCTTTCAGGATCACTAGGAAATTAACAGTAGGCTCAAAATGTTATTGGTTAATGCTAGATATAATAAAAATATCGATGTTGCTGTGTATGTGAATTTCTTTTTAAGCATTGGTCTGAGAAAAACAAACATTTCTGGAAAAGTATGAGTGTGAAAACAATTGAATGATCGCAGCTGTATATTATATGGTTATGACACCTTCATACTTGTGATATGAACATTGCCTTGGGACTGATAGTCAACAGGATTTATTCTCTTCATCAGAACTTGTGTCATAGATGTGTTTAGACGTACCAAAAGAAGTGCATTTCCTGAAGCAATGGTAATACATCTCCTTGTTTGTTTCAGATTGTTAGGCTGAGATGCATGCATGTAAGATGTTTTGCTCTGAGATCAAAGGCAGACAGAGAAGAGTTAAATGGAAAAATAATTTTGAAGTTGGTTTAAAACAAGTTTTATCTCTATGATTTAATTATTTTTCAAAACATGTTTATTTAAATCAACTTCAAAGGAAACATGGCAATTCAAAATAGCCATAACTAGCACTGATCACTTAATATATCACTAATTTTTAAAAATCATCCAAATGAGATCCCTCTCAGTAGTCTCATTCACAGATTCAAACAAGCACAGATAATATGAGACTCTAAGCTGCGTTATTTTATTTTAACATGTTTAAATATAGCCATAATCACAGTATAACAGCAGTAGTTTGAAAAAAAAAATGTGGTAGCAAAGTGAAAAAAACGTGGAATATCAAGCGGGATCTATAGTCTCTGTTCTTCAGCATCTGCACAAAAATACCCGCAAATGTGCCCATATAAAAACAAGTACATGGGTACTTCAATAACAAGTAAATACAGGCAACTAGTTTCCTTTTTGAAAATTAAGAAACGTTGTTTATACTGTGGCTTTAACGCTAATGTCATCTTCAAACTAAAACTTCAGGTATTTCCTGTATACTCTAACTTTTTCCTCTTACTTTCTTTTACAGGGTTTTTTTGTAGCAGTTTTATACTGCTTTGCTAATGGAGAGGTAAGAGAACGTTATGAGAAAAGTTTTTAGTTGATTAATGAAGTACACTAATGACACAAGAAGGATGAACACACTGACTAGCTCTGCTTATTCGAGAGCATGCATTCTTTTGAACTGGTAGAGTTGCTTTATGTAAACACAGCAACAAGACCTCTCACAGGTTTGGGATTCAAATGCAAAGTATTTCCACTGAAGCTTGAGTGACTATAACACTGTGGAGGTACTGATACCCTGAGGTGTCTGAAATACCAGTGAAGGCTTATGTTCAGCCACCTGAACCCCACTTCTTTAATCACAGACTTCACGTTTGGTCAGGCTAAACCATCTCTCAGTTTACCCCTAAAGTCCATGTGAAGCAACCAAATTTGGAGTGCTTTAGTATCTTGGACAACCACATGTTGAAAAAATAATTTCATGCATGCACTGCTCAGGACATCTCTAAACTTGATGTGAGGAGATTCCTTGTCTGGGACTTGTTTCCTGTTAAGCCTCAAGGGACAGCTGGGGGTGCAATTTGCTCCTTGGCAGGATCTAGGCACATCAGTGATGGCTCTTATGCAAGGAGATGACAGCAGAGAAAACTAACCTCCTGTCCAGTGCAGAATGAAGACTGAATTCAGACCAGGTTGTTCTGGGATTTGTCCAGCTGGGCTTCGAACTGCCCCCAAGGACAGAGGTTCCACCAGCCCTCTGGTCCTCTGTCCCAGTGCTTCACTGTACTCAGGAGGAAACATCTTTACCATATATTGTTAGAACTTGCCCTATTTATGATAACTATCTCTTGTGTCCCTACCAAACACTTCCGTAGAGTGTCTGGCTCCATCTCCTTCATGATCTCCTCATAGGCAGTATTTAGGCCTTCAGCTTGAACCAGCCCCATTGACTCAGCTTCTCGTCATAGGGCAAGCACTCCAGCCCTGACTTCTGCTCATAAGTTCAAGCTTATCAACAGAGTTCTTGTACTGGGCTCCCGAAATTAGATGCAGTATCCAGAGGTAGTCTAGCAGTTACTGAGTAAAGGACAACAATCACTTCTCTTCATCTACTGGCTCTGCTCTTGCCTATACAGCCCAGTGCTTTCATCGCCATCGCAGCTGCCTGCTGCCTTTGCATTATCACACCGACTTGCTACAAGCTACCTCAGAAGATGACGCTATGTAGGCTGTGGAATTAATCTCACTTAATTTTAAATATTTTCCAAATTGAATCTCGCTGTCTGTACTTCCCTTATATGTGGTCCGGGTGCAGGCCTGCACTACTTGCAATAAACAGACAGTATCCAGTGTCAGGAGCACTTAAGCGCCTGGCACAGCAAGCTGGCATGGTACACAATACATTGACACAGGTACATGAACTTGGACACCTTCTTAAGGTCACCAGTGAAACAAATGATGTGGGCTTTATACAAAAGGGAGGCTATATGTTCCTAATATTTAACGAGGAAATCTGGAGCAATTTTGAAACTACTTAAATAAAAAAGAAAGCTGGCACTTGTCTGCAATACAGGAGTACCTGTCTAACATTTGTGAAGGGCACAGAACTGCTATCATCTCTCAACAGCAGTTGCTCTTTTGGCCTTCTACCTCCTGGTCCAGCTCAGCTCTCAGGCCAAAAGCCCACTGGTTGGAGCAAGGGCACATCCCGCTCCCCTGCGAGGGCGGGAGCCTGCGCTCCATCTGCAGCACTCGCTCGGGTAGTGCAGGCAGCAGAACACCCAGTGCTGAGGAGATGAGGCAGACTGCCAGATAAAAAGCTTTAACAAAACAAACCAGATGTGCAAGCACAACACTCCAGCAAAGCTGCGTGGTTCTCATTTCCACAGCCCTCGGGCTTTCCTCCTGCGCACTTCGTCAGGCTGCAAACATGAAAGTCACTCGAGCTCTCCCGCAGATACACGTTGAGATCGCGATGTATCAGAGACCCAGGGGCTGGGAAAAACTCTCCTAAGTTAGGGTGAGGAAGGCAGACTCTTAAGATCGACTTAGCAAACAAGTCTGTTTCCACCCTACAAGGACCTCGCCAGGTGTGAGGTGCACCCCAAAGGGGCAGGGAGCTCAACACTTCCACAGTCCCTCTAATTTCACAACTAGCGTTTGGGTTAGTGGGCTGCAGGGTGGTCACAAGACATCACTGTGGACAGACTGTCTTCTTCTCCTTGCAGGTGAAAGCAGAGCTCCAGAAGCAGTGGTCCCGTTTCCTGCTGGCAGATCCTTTTGGCTGTAAACTCTGCTTTCTTGGGGAAAACATAAAATACCTCAGGAAATGTTCACAGAAACGAAAAAAACAGCACCTTGGCAGTAAACACCACTTGTGCCTGGAGGCAAGAGAGTCCTGGGGCATGCAGTTCCAGCAAGTGCTAGTGAAGCAGAGAACAGATGGCAGCCCAGAGCCAGGCTGTGCTCTCCCACCTCGTTCACGGGCAAGCATGTCGGACAGCAGTGAAGGAGAAGTCACCACTGGAGAGACAACCGAGGAAGTCTTAGAAGAAAGCGAGATTTAGAAAGCTGTTCACTAGGACAACGCCTTCCAACAGCCGCAGTATTTTGAAAGATATTCTCTCACCTCCTTACTATACAGATCTCTGGGAGGTGCAATGCAAGGAGGAAGCAGTTAATATCCCAATTGTCCCAGTTTTCTTAATCTGAGAAAAATGTTCATCTGGTTGTTACCAATCTGTGTGGCTGGGGTAGAAAAGCTTCGCGGATCAAAAAATGCTTTGAGTTGACCAGTCTGGTAGAAAACTGATGCTGAAAGAGATATACACAGGGAAGCAGGATGTACTCTGGAAATGAGTAGACTCTGGACACACATGTTGTGTCCCAGCAGCTTCATCCATTCTTGACTGCCATGCTACTCACATAATAGAGAAGTTGTTTGCTTTTCTCTTTCGTGGGTATGTCTCATAAATAGAGATATGAGTGTAGAAGACTTCTGTCTGCAGAGTGAAACCATCCCCCATCTCAAAAAAACAGTTTCAGGCCAAATCAAATGTTTATTTTTAAATAAAATGAAAGAAAGAAAGAAAGAAAGAAAGAAAAAACAGTTTCAGGCCAAATCAAATGTTTATTTTTAAATAAAATGAAAAAAAGAAAGAAAGAAAAAGAAAGAAAGAAAGAAAGAAAGAAAGAAAGAAAGAAAGAAAGAAAGAAAGAAAGAAAGAAAGAAAGAAAGAAAGAAAGAAAGAAAGAAAGAAAGAAAGAAAGAAAGAAAGAAAGAAAGAAAGAAAGAAAGAAAGAAAGAAAGAAAGAAAGAAAGAAAGAAAGAAAGAAAGAAAGAAAGAAAGAAAGAAAGAAAGAAAGAAAGAAAGAAAGAAAGAAAGAAAGATTTGCTTGCATTTTTGAGCATCTTCACTCAAAGTTTAGTGCTGGAAATGTCATTATGAAACAAAAGACCAGAATATTTTCTTCGGAAAGTGCCCAAATGAAATGTTTTGATACAATTTTTGTTTGCTTATTTTTGTTTTCATTATTTTTTTGACACAAGTCACACATTTTAAAGCATATTGAGGTTTGCCCTACCTGTGGCCCAAATGACAAAATTGATTGGTGATAAGTGCTGCTTCTACTTTCCTCCCAGAGGACCTGAAATGGATAATGACATGAGATTGTGACAGCAGCTAAAGAATCTTGTGAAATCCTTCTTCCAGCACTTTACAAAAGACACAGCGAAATTTTAATTGTCATGCTCAGCTCACCCAGAGACCTAAGAAATTCAGTTGTTTGTTAATATTCTGAGTCAGTCTAAACTTGCGAACATGAGCCAATTGGCATACTGAAAGGAAAAAAGAAAAAGGCAACAGAAAGATCAGACAACAATATTTTTCTACAATATAAACATATACCCCAGGCACACACGTGTAACTATCCAGCCTGCCACTAGTTCCATAGCATTGGTTATGAATTTTTCCTGTACTTTACTGGCAAGCACCCTATTCTAACCTAAATGCCTGCAAATGCAATAAAACATCCTGGGCAACTGGCTCTAGATGGCTCTGCTTGAGCAGGGGGGTCGGACCACATGACCTCCAGAGGTCCCTTCCAACGCCAAGCAGCTTGTGATGCTGTGAAAATACTATATGTCAAATAAATAATTTCCAGGGATGCTCATGGTCTCTATTTTGCATCTTCTCTCCATCAGGTGTCAACGCTGTGGTTACCCTTCTGATTTCCCTGCTTCTACATCTCCCCATGGGGCAGCTTTGTCCTTAGGCTCCTGCTGCCAGCTGTACAACAGCAAATGGCACTTTTTGGAGATGAGTTGCCTATATCTTCACTGTGTTGTTTGTGTAAACTAAGTTTATGCAGCTTATCACACTTACCAATACTTTTGAAAATTATTTTCACTCTACAGATGTTTAGACATGTAAACTTTACCAGTTACAATATACTGTTTTCTTGCAAAGAATAGACAGATTAATTGACTAGCACTAAGTCAAGAACACATTTGAGCTGTCACATTTCCAGTACTTTTCAATGAGCATTTTTTTTACGGTTCTGTCAGTGTTAAGAACTTAATCTTTTTAATCAATACAAGGCTGTATATTTCAGTAAGATATTAATAAAATGTAAATATTTGATCCATTATAAAATATATCTGTAGCTTTAAAAGACTCTTTACCAGAATGTGTATTCTGCTTATATAGCATTTTACTGCAGTGTATTTCTCCACCACCCATTACAAGCACCAGCCACTACATATTCTGTTGACCGTGTCTCCTCCAACTTAAAAAAGACTGATTTCTTCTGTAGCTGTTGTTTAAGATATTAAAAAGCTTGAAGTGGTTTAGAATGCATTTGACTTTGTTGTTGAAAATGTGAGAACTATAAGATTTTACTGCACCTTAGTAAAATAATTTTATTTTTAATTGCATTTTAAAGTATTTCAAATGGTCAAGAAACCAGTTTTTTGTGCTCTCAACTGCAGTCCCTGATAAGTGTATTTTCTTCTCTCTGTGAGGGTTTTTTTTGCCTCTTTCAGTTTACAAAAATCAACTTTTTTATATAAGCAGACCCTGGAGGCTTGATAAAAACAATCAACACAGGAATTCCTTCAGAAAACATGTTTGTAAGTAGATAAATGAGCAATTTTATCATTAAAATATAGTATTATTTATTATATCACTAAACTACACTTGTTAAATCTGGATGGCCACACACACAATGTATCTTTACAGAAATATTACAAGCTCCTCAGTTCTAAATAAAATATTAAGCACTCTAGAAGACAGCAGCAGACTCAACAATTCAAACATGTTAGTAGAATCAGCGAAAATAGCTGCGAAAAGAATCAGTGAAAATAGCTGACTCTCCTCCTAGGCAGAAGGTCTGCAGCTAGGTATCCTCCTGGGACTTTGCTTCCAACCTCTGTAGAGCCCCAGGGCTGCAGGAGGGACACTACAGCCATAGGAGCTGATAAGAAAAGCTGCAGTAGGTCACTGGGATGTGAGACAAGCCAGACTTGCCAGGGTTCCTACAAGTGCACCGACTGGAGAGACAGAAACAGTTGGAAGAAAGGAAAAGAAATATGATCTTGCTCTGCCGAAACAAGAGGTGGAGACAGATCAACCCAAACTGGTATCTGTTTGCAAGTGACATTTTGTGTCAATTACTTATCCAATTTGCACACAAGTTAATTATCAGACAACAAATACTTTAATGTTAGCCCAGGGTTTTATGCTTGTGTAGACCTAGTAACAGGATTTTTCTCTTTATCAGTCAGCTGCTCACCTTTACTCCACAGACTTCCACTGCCTTCACCTTATGAGAAAGACTGGTGTGAGCCAAAGGCTTGTTCCCTCTAGATGAGAGAGCCCAACCTCCCACAGTCCTGGTGAGTTTGGTCTCTGCTGAGTCAGTCCATTAAGTAAGTCAAGGTGGCATATTCATGCTCAAGATCAGAGACAATCCACACTAAAACCTGACTCCCACAGCTTTCAAGTTGTCTTTGCCAAGGATTTTGCTTTCCATCAAATAGAAATAGGTATGACAAATAATTGAATTTCAAGCCCAAAATAGCTTGTGGCGTTCAACAGAGCTTTCCCATTAGAGGTAGTGGATTCGTATGAACAAGGTTTATGCAATCTTAATCATCTGCTGTAAGATATGCTATAAATTTTTCTGTTTTACTACACATAAAGCACAACCTTCCAGACACAATGTCTCCTTCTACGGCCAGAGATGTCAACTATACGCTAATTATAAATGTGTACTTACAGTCTTTGTTTAAATATATTGCTTCTACACACCATGGTCTGTGCCTCAAAGGCTCAAATAGTAAAGTACAAATACTCCATCTGGAGAGCTCTCTGTCAGTTATGCCTTAGAAACAATAATACTGGTTTGTATTTTTTAAAATACGGAATAAATCCAGTAGATTAAGAGACGTGCCAGTTCTGCCATATTTGATGTTCTCACTTCCCAAGGCAGCAGATATAGGTAAGGCAAAGAGTCACACACGTGCTACCTCATTGAAGACTATGAAAAAGACAAGTTTTTTGTTGTTCTGTTTTGTTCCAGTGCAAACATGAATTTAATTTAACAACCAGGGTTTTTTTCTTTCCTTTTTTTTTTTTTTTTAAGGAGAGGAAAGACAATTTTAATAAAATAGTTAAACATAATATCCTATGATAACTTGTGCTTAAGCTGCAATCATCTTCCCTCTAGGATGTTGAGGCTGGGATGTGAGGAGGTCTATCTTAGCTACTGACCAACCTATGGCATAGTAATGGTATTCCTACGCCTCCAGCCTCAGATACAGGAGATGAAAAAGGTGATGACACATCTCTGGGTCTATTTGGACATCCCATACACCTGTGCCTGATGCCAGAACTGGAGGAAGTGAATTCCTACCAGCAGACATGTACCTTCTTCAACAGTCTTGATATTTGTGAGTGCTCAGTATTCAGTGGAAACTGAAGACAACCTTGAGTGTGTGGGACAGCAGTAGGATGAGAAATGCCAAACCATGACATAGCTCCTCAGGAGGCTGTAGGCCACAACTTCCGGGGCATAATCTCCTCACTCCAGGCTGATGTCAACTTCTTCACCTGCACGGTAAATCAAACCTCTTCCACTTGAGTACTTTTGTGTTTTGCAAACTGTTGTCTCTAGGATTAGCATCTGATGTCGCTGACACTCTCCATTGCAACAGTCAAAGCTTCAGGGATTTTCTTAACTTTTTGCCGTATCTTACCTCCCAGTAAGAGGAACTCTGTGATCTGTGAAATTCTTCCTGACATTAGTACTTTTTTTTTTAAAATCAAGAATATTTTACTGACATCGTCTTTTTCAGCTTTCATAGCAACACAGTTCTGGATTTTTAATTATTTCTTTTCAGCCTGCCATTCCAAATCTCACAAACCATCTGCTGCACTAAATGTCATGTCACGTTTAGGCATCTTTGCAGTCATTCCTGGAGCCACACAGAACTACAGTGAGAAGCAGTTGCTTGTAAACCGTGTCATTGCAATTAGCTGCAGGAAATTAAATTGGAGCTGCCACA